GGGATTCGATCCCACATTTCACCTTATCCGAAGGCGCGTGCTGAACCGCTGTATTACCGGTAGTGAAACACTCCCCGGATAGGGCAAAATGTGCGTTTGAATTTTACCTCGCGCACAAGTTTTGCACACCACTCTGCATCATTGGGTTTATTGTAACATCATACTATTGCTAAAGGCGACCAAATGGATTAAATTCTGTTTGATCATCTAAGATAAAAAGTTTGTAAAGCGCAAAATGCTTGGATGAGAAATACATTGTCATTATTGCAGTTTCAGCCCAACAGAAAAACTGTCTCAAAAATAAGGTACATTTTCGAATTGTTTGAGTTCTGGGCTATCGAATGATTAATCAGATTTCAAAACCAGTGAAAAGTAACGTTTCCACGTGCGCTAGACTGAAATCCAACAAGTTAAATGATTCCATATTCCAAGAGTGGAACCCACATTTTACCCATACACAGTGCGTGCGCCGCCACTACACCACTAAGATACTTTTTCGCTATCACTTTTCTTCAGTTTCTTCCAAATTCCTATCAGCCTCCAAGCACGCGCTGCCGGTATAAGTAAAACGCTTACTCAACTCCCGTCTCAAGTCGAATTTACGCTCACCACTCAGTTCGCTCACGTACGTTTAGAGTTCACTATTTCCCAAGTAATATTTGATCAATTACTTATTTTTAAACGAGTTGAACGGTGAGCACGTTGGTGTAAGACTTTACCTGGGTACCCTTTGAACTCCTTGTTGCAGGGTGGGTGCTCGTAATCCCATCACATCAGATCTAGAGGAGGTAGCGCCGCTTCAATGAAAACCTCACTTAGTGGTGCCCTGTTATACAGAACAGATATTGGCTATTAGTAACACATCGTGTAGCATTGGTAGCCATTTTTCGGCATACGTCACTTCAAGATCTTGATAACGGACATTCATCAAATTTCAACAAGCATACTCAACATTTTCTGCCTGACTGAGCCGGCTCGAGGGTGGTATGATGATTCAGTGGAACAAAGAATTTTACTGCAACTTCATGTCACTTCATTAATAAAAAAATCGCTGATTAATCTCTCCGATGTTTAGTGGCAGTCGGTTTTGAACACTAAGTGCCTGAATATTTTATCTTGAGACTCGCTACCTTCGTTCACGACTCGAATATACAAAAAGCAGCTAGTGTAGAGATCACCGCCACTACTGAAAAAACGGCAGTGCAGGAATGTTAGCCACAAAAAAGCCCGATCTAGAGCAATATTTAGGATGCGGTAACATTGATGTTTTTATGTGTAACTTTCATGGCGCTTATTTGAGATTGTTCAAAACTAGGAGCATTTTTCACCAAATGAATAGTCTGAGAGTCTTTCAAAAAGTGGTCAATGGGCAAAATTCGCAGAGAAAAATGCCTCGAAGACACATAAGAAGCAAGAGATTTGCGGAGGAACGAAGGTACAAAGTCGGTGCTTACTCGACATTAATTATGTTTCGTACATCAAAGTGTTTCTTCGATTCGTAGTCAATTCGAAGGGCACATATAGCACAGCGGTCAGAAGTGCCCTCCTATACATGTACTTGCTAATCTCGTTTCCCTTCCGAGCCCACTAAAACTTCTTCCCACTAAAAAGGAGGAAAATGGTGCCAGACATGTTTTGAAGTATAGTGGCTCAGAATTAATGCATCATTGAGCCACCACAGTTCATCGTGGAGGCTCATATGCATGGAATCACCTCTAACGATAAAGTCAATGTAGGGTGCGCCTCTCTAGGATTGAGAGACACCGAGAATCCTGGATTTTCCGTTCGTTGCAAAAGTCATCACTTTGGAGAAGATTTCAGATTTTGCGACTGAGTTTTAATTATTTCCGATTACCTCTATTACGCAAGGTAATGATGAAAGAACTCTTGATCTTCACTCTGTTAATCAACTTTTTACGTTTTGTCGTTCCGTTGAGTTTTGAGATACTGAACAAAAGCGATATGTGAAATTGAGTCCTAATGAATGAACTCTTGTGTGTATAACAACGCCAGAAAATTTGTCGTTATTTCAGGAAACAAGTGACGTTAGTGGAGAATCTGTTGGCACTTTCTACTCGAAAAGATATTTTACATACTCGCCTTAATTTATGCAGAGCAATGCTTTGCAGATGCCAACAAGAAAAAAGTGGATTGCAAACAACAAAGGTTTTTTTTTCAAACATTCCTTAAACGCTTAAACGACACATATGCCCATTTCGCGTGGTCTCCAACACTTTATTCTGTGATCACATTCTCATTGAACCGGTATCTAAGCAAATGAAGCAATTTGTTTGTGATTCCGGCTACTATATGAGTTCTGCAGAAAATGTCTGAAGAAATTCTAACCTTTTTTGTTCACTGGATGGAGGTGTTGTTTACTAGTTGCGCATGACTTCTCATTAAGCTTGTTGGGAAACGTTCTCTTGTGTTCCGTCCTTATCACATGCAGTTGCCTGTATCTGACTCGCAGCTTCAGTTACCTTGTGACCCAGATGTCTTCTAGGATTTCGTAGATTTTTGTGACAGTTGACCGATCGACCACTTAAGAAGTGCGTTTCTAGGAAGTAATTTTGATATCTCTGAGTGAAGAAGTGACGAATTCACAGATATTCAAAAGAGAAATTGCGCGGCGTTAACGAATTTATGATATATACGTAGTGAAGAGGACAAAGAATATCCGACTCCGTGCCCACCTTTTCGACTCGACAATTATCCCTGCCCTAACGTATGCAGCAGAAACCTGGTCGCAACGTAAGCAGGATGAAAGACCATTTGGCGTTATCAAACGCGCAGTCGAAAGGTCGATGTGAGGAGTATCCCGTATCTCGCAAATGAGAGAAAGGATCCGAAGTTCCGATCTACGTCAGCGATCGAAAATTAGAGACGCTGTTCTAAACGCCAGGATATTGAAAATAACGAGGGCCGGACACGTGATGCGCTTCAACGACAACCGATGGACGAAAGCCGTTACCGACTGGATTCCTCGAGTCGTCAAGCGCTCTAAAGGAAGACCACTGACCCGTTAGTCCGATTTCTTCACGAAAGCGATAGAAGAAAGGTATGATGCTCAGCGAATCCCTAGAGCGAGGAAGACCCACTGGGCTACTCTTGCACGCGATAGAGAAAAATGGAAGAGTTGCTGGTACCCGCTCGAGTCACTCGACGACTAACGGGACGACAGGTGATATATATTAGGTAGAGGAAACCTTTTTAACACGCGCAAAAAATTCAAATTTTATGTTCGTTTCACACAGTATCGGTAATTGTAAACTCACAGGAGTTTTCCAGGGATATTTACAAAAGAAACTACCGAGCCTGCAGTGCACTGAAGGAGAAGTAGCCGACATTGATTTGTCGAAAGCACACGCTATTTCAGTAAGGCAATGCCAAACCTCATATTGCAAAGGAGACTAAAGAAAAGTATGATGAATCGGAGGGAGTTGAGGTCTTGCGCACCCAACCTACAGTCCAGATGCCGACCCGTCCTACTGTGGTCCGATCTGGGTTCAATGGGACATTTCCTGAGTTAACGCCAATTCGAGACATTTGATTGAAGAGGGATGTCAGGACTTTCACGACTAAAAACCCAAGAAATTGAAATGCTGTTGAAATTGGTTGCTGATCCGAAATCTTGCAGATTCTCGACAAGAATGATCTGTATTCTAAAAAACAAATTTTGCTGTTTCCAGTTGAATTTATGCATAAACTTTAAATTTTTTGCTGATGTAAAAGAGCTCTCTCTTCAATACAATAATTAGATATGATTCTGCTTTATTAGTCATGGATGTTCATGATTGTAAGGTAATTATCCGACACTTATGAAATATTGCAACCGTAACTGGAATTACAGATCTTGGTGGGAAAATTTGCCGATAATGAAGAATACCTACGTAAAAGGAACGCGGACGAGTTGTCGTTTGGCTTAAAGAAGCACAAGTCGAAGGCAAGACGTATGGATTGGATCTGCCCAAGAAAGATGAACTTTTGTATTGCTTTCTATTTGCAGTCAAGTATTTGTATTTTCAGCCAGAATATAAGTCCATCAAATGTGATTTGCGAGGGGACAATCTACTTTTATTTTATGATTTATAAAATTTACCTTATACTGAGGAGAAATGGAATAAAACAGTGTTCTTTTCAAAACCATTTGGGAGCTACGAATGGCCGCCATAAAATGAGTATGTTGGATACTACTGATATTAAAAATCCATTTTCTGTTTAACTTGAGATATAGTGTTACACAACTCTTTTTGCTAGAAGGCATTCGAACACACAGAAGGGAAAAAACGTAACTAATTGCTTTCTGGAAATCCTTCGATCTAAAAGTCAATGTTGGTGCTTAAAACACCGACTTAATTGCAATGACGTTGAATCTATGTTTTATTAAGACGAATGTCTTTCTCATTTTTAAGAAATTTACCAGCCTCGGAAGTTTTTCAGTCCCTTAATCATGTCATTAAAACGTTTATTTGATGTTCGCTGAGATTAAGCGAAGAGTTTGCATGTTAACATATTCCATTTCAGTTTCCTAAATGTGATGACGTACACCTCAATCCACAACTGAATCGCCCAACCCTCAGCGACCGCGAGGCAACCACAATGGCCGCTTTTGAAGATGAATCTTTTTTTTCTAGATAGATTGAGCTGCTTTTAATTTAAAAGGACGACTTAAAGTGTGTCAATAGCAACACAGCATAGTTGATAAAAGCAGGTGAAACTCATAGAATTTACTGATAGATTGAATCTATCATTTCACCAAGAGTAACGAGTTCAGACTAGATAGCTTCGCTAGTGACTCTTCTTCATCGGTTGCCGTTTAGATGTGTCACTTGTCTAAAGCATTCACGATTTTTCAAAATCTGATCTGTAGAGGAGACTTCTTTATTTAATGTTATTTTAATGTTGACATAGAACGCCACTTGAAATTTCTAGTGTTTTTACTGAACTTTCGCAGTGATATGATATTCCACACATGCCTGAAAGAGTGACGGCGCAAACATACCCCGGTGGTGTAGTGGTAGCACGCGTCCCCGGTATGAAAGAAACACTGGGTTCGACTTCCGTCTGAGTTCGTATTTTTGCTCACCACTCAATTCTCTTAGGTATGTAGAACGGTACATTGGATCTTTTCTTCCACCTGTGTGATTTATGATAGTACAAGGATTTCTCACGGCAATGCATTTGATAACGACATGTGGTACTTCATATAGCTTGCATGGCGACCATATATCTCGAGAACCCGTTGAGATAAGATAATTTTTGGATCGCTGTTGGATACAGAGTCGGATGTTCCCTGTTATTTTCACTCCACCCTAGTTTCTCAAGATAGCTCCTGGGTCGCTTGCTTCTTCTTGCCATGAGCTCATCATTTTGACTCGCAGATACAGATCCGTTCAGTTGAAGTTTTGAAGACATTTCATGAGGTTCGACACCTCTTTGAAAAAGGTTCACCTTGGCGTTCTTCGTGTTTGGCATTTAATTCCTTTCGTTAAACATTTGTCCTGTACATGACAATTACATGAGGTTCCTACGGTACATCGAATCAGTAGTTTTCTCACAGTGGAAACCCGTATAGATTTCTGAACTAACATACATAGTACTATTAAATTACAATTCAATTGCGCTATGACCATATAAATAAGGTTTTGCTCAAAATTTTTCTAAACTGTTGATATTTCGACCGACGTGTGAAACTGATTTAACTTTGAAAACCTCAACGAAAGCAACTGAGTTGTCGAGGATAGGAATTACTCCTATAGCAATGAGTTTTCGATTTATTGTCACGATTGTGTTGTTCAGAAATGTCTAACATTTGACTTACGGAGTCATTATCATTTGAGGCAGTACCGGTGCGTAGATATGTGGGTTCAAGTTTATTCACTCAGTGTCGGTCTCATAAGTGAAAACCATAACATGGCAAAAAACGGTAGTAATGATAAACATAGAGTGCAAGAAGGCTGATGTGGAAGCCTGCCGTACGAAAAGCACCGAAAAAATTTCTCAAATTTGTAAACAGTTGTACAGACGGGTCAGTCACAAATTGTGGTACTGCTTAGGTGCTTCTAGGATCGCATCATGGTGAAACAGAAGCGAGCTATGGTGGATCAGAGTATTGCCTGAGAAATTTCTGAAGCTTCATTGAGATTCCTCGCAATGTCCCGATTTTTTTGCTTTCAAACGGGATTATGAAGTATGTGAGTTTTCACAATTCACTCACTCGATCTTGGACTTTTTGAGTCTATAGATCAACTGCACGAAAAAGTAAATTGTAACGATCACAAAACAAAAATATTTCATCTGTAAAACGCGTAAGAAATTGAGTGTTATACAGTGAGAAAATCACTAAACTGATAAGTGTATAGACAGCAAGCGTAGCAGATTGGTACAATAGCGTTCTCTATTTTATATACAAGATCGGATCCGAGTATTTTCGTCACCTTCTCCCAGTTGTCACGATGGACAAATTCACGTAAAGCAGTTGTGGTAGCCTTCTAAATTACAGTGATGATGGCTTGTTTTTGTATTCAAACGAACATTCTCCTATGGATAAACTAGACCGTTGGAGCAGTGGATCTTTCTATACAGATATGTAGAAGACTTACGATCGCTTACCTGGAGTTCAGCATTATCACTGATGACTCCACACAGAGGTGTCAACATTATCTTAATTGTGAACGGAATAGAGAACGGATGATCCCGACCGACGGCACTCATTCCGAGTAGTGCTCCATGTAAGGTGGACAAATTCTTGTTTTCCATCAGGTTGTTCAAATGTCTCTATAGAACATTAGTGGATATCTCTTGAAGTCACTTTGACTTGAAACGGAACGAATGTTCATTTACCAAGAGATCGCCGTTGACTTCAAGGTATTCACAGATAATGAGAGTAAACATTGCTCTGGACTCTTCTCTCCGCACTTCTATCTATATAAACAAGGAACATTAAAGATGAAAACTTTTCTGTTGGGCAGAATCTGTGGTTTCTTACATTGAGAAAGGCATACATACCTGAGGATCAATGGTAGCGTCGTGGAAAAGTTTGAGAACCTTCTCAGGTCGGGTTACTTTTTCCAATTTATAGATATTGGGAGACACCAAGGCTTAGATAAGCTTCAACACCGACATTTCAAATCGCCACAAATAAGAGTTGTAAAAGTGCTGAAAATATCACATTTGTAATTATCATTTGCAGTCTGTACGATTATCAGAGGTGGACAAACCTGAATAACAGAGTCTGGAAACGAATCAGCAAAATTTGACGTATGTTGGAAATTAGACATCCCTTCAAGAATAGATAAGCTAGCATTATGAGCGGTGTCCATGTCTTCAAACGAACCACAAATTCTGGAATGCTCATATTCCGTTTATGCTCACATTTCATCATTCCTCACTAACACTTACAAGCTCACTCGTCGTCACCTTCATAACTATATCAAGATTACAGGAAACAATGTTGCTATATCAGGTGTAAAACGAGTTGTACAATCAGTGTAGTATTGTTAAAGAAATAATTACATAGGTAGACTTGTGACTGACAGCACAGACAAACATCATAAAGCACGATATGCCATTGTCAGTAGCAAAGTTGACACATATGAGGCCTGTTTCTGTTAGTCACTCAAAAAATTATCGATGTGGATTACAAGAAGGCTGGAAAAGTTGAATTGAAACGGTTCAAAATTTTGAAAAAAAAAAACCCACCAGATCAATGACCAATTTAGGTGGCTGCGCTTGAATCAGTTTAGAAGAAAATTCAGCAGCACTAACACCACCATCAAGCTTTATGGTCGTTTTTAAAGCTTGTGTGGATTTAGAGCTTGGTGTTTTGAGCTGAATGGGCATGAACATAAGTGTTTCAAGAATATTTTCTGTAATTCACAGAGAATGGGAAAGGGTGGAGAGGTGTGAAGGGGGAGGGTAGGGCGAGGTCAGGTGGCTATGATCTCGTCGCGGTGAGCGTGGGGCCGAACCCCATCCCAAGACTCTCCGAAAATCAACGACGAAAGTCCTATGGACCACCACAGCCGGATTGTCCTCGACTTTTTTGAGAGACGGGTTCAAGCAATATTCTACGACGTTCAAGAGGAGGCAAACGAATTGAATGCTAGAAGTACTTGGACTCGCGCAGTGCAAAAACACTTAGAAGACTGATTGATGAAGTGTCAGATATGACAATTGGTACAAGATGTTTTTAAGCATGCAGCTGTAGCGTAGCTCTCTTATACTTTCACTTTCCCCACAAATACATAGTTGTAGCTTTCTTATAATCTGCATCAGAGTCCCTGTAGCAAAGTACCTATTCACTGCAAAGAATTTTTAGTCCTGCGTTTGTTTGTAACCTCGCCCAGGACAACACAACTAGAGTTGCAGTTGCTGCTACCCCCGCTGGACATCGCCCATCATAGCCTCCTCTCTGTCCACTCAGTCCTATTGGAGTCAACCTTCTATAACCAAAACCGTGTTTTATTGCGACACAAAAGCATATTGATTCAGGCCCAAACAACTATAAACAGGATTACCCGTTGTAAGCAGCAGCTTGCAAAACTCATCACTTTGCACATTTCATGTAATGGTAATCACTTTTACCTCAAAAAGGATTCTTCTTTGCCTAAGCAATTCTAGCGGTGGATGACGTCATGAATATACTCGTCGATACAGAGCGATGTGCAAAACTTTCGCTTCAGGTGAGACTCAAACCTACACTTTGCCCATTCCTGTGGCACGCTATAATTTATAACATCATGCCACGGCTAAAAGCGGTTAGAAAAAGGCATTCCATTTGATCACCTGGTACCCAATATCTGTCAGTGGACTGGGCTCAGTGTCGATAGCGACTACCCGTGACATGCGTTGACGGTTATTTGCTGACAGGTAGATGCGTCGTAGATCAGAGAAAGGTATCAAGACAGACGACGGTAATGCAACGGTTCGAACACGCGCTTCCGGATTGGGTGGAATGTGGGTGGAGTTACAGTTGACACAGAAGTTATACACATCACTCCACACTAACAGATATACTTTTATTTCTTTGGAAGAGGCGAAAATCATCAATGGGAGAAGAAAGATTGAACGTTTTGGCATAACTTCTACTAAGCGTTTACAAAAGAAATGGACTCGGTGTCTTCTGGGACGGTGTTTTTGATATTTGCAATATTCAGATTATTTGAGGATCTTTGTCACGTACAAAATGTGGATTTGATGAATCACTCAGCCTCCACAAGTTACTCTATAGGCTCTACATACAATATCATGCATACAAAAGGCCTAAAATGCTCTGCTATAGCCTATTTCATATGGAGGTGCCATGCTACCAAGCCATAAATATCATGGAGGTGAATAAATACAAATTAGTGACTTGCTACAGGCTTTGCAATGTATCTAACCAGTACCGTACCTTTGTTTCCAAACAACTTTGGTACCAACCTACCGACTATGCAAAGGCAATAAGCTTTTTTAGTCTGGGGCGTTAAATGAAGGCTCTGATCAAAAACTTCTTTACTCTACTCTTTACGGCGATGTATATGATTTCCTGGTTTCAGGGTCGACACTGCTCGTGATCAAATAAATAGTAGAAGATCTGCGTGACTGAAATAATCAATGCATTCGAGTGACTTATCCGGCACACAACACACAACCACTCGCAATAGGCTCCAAAGCCTAACTGCTCTAGTAAAATCATCAATAAAACCGAATCAATCGTGAGCACTCTCCTTTGAAAAGCTAGTACATTTGGCGCATCGGCCAACCTTTACTTGATCCCGGGTCGCCACTGGATCTGCTGCTTGGCCAAACTACGTCGGCCAACTACCACAGTCCTGATGCTGACAATACTGCGTCCAAGCGACGCATCGAAGCCCTTGGGGGATCCAAAGCAGATATTTGGGCGGAGCAACAGGTAAGACCTCTCCATACCACACGCAACGGCCCAACGAGGCATACTAACGTTACCGAAGAATAGGATTAGACGTCACCAGTATTTAGCCACACCAGCCGAACAAAACAGCTACCGTTCAATGCGACGACACAACCATCTAATAGCCGAACGAGGCAGTCATCTAAGTCGCAAGCGAATAAG